AGCAGTCAGATTAGGGTTTCCTAGTTGTAAACCCTAATAGTCTACATGTATATAAAGGACCCTTAAGCCCCAAAAACGTGGTGAAGTAATCCTTTAGGGTTTCCAGCCGTTTTTGGTGCCTCCTCTCTCCTCCCTCTTCATCCAAGTTGCTTAGTGGTGTTTGTGACTCCATTAGAGGTGCAACACTTGAGGCACTAAGCTTTCTGAAGCCAATCAAATCAAGGATTGATTGTTATTGCTATATAACAATCAAAGGTAATTACTAAACTCTAATTTCAGTTATAGTTTATTAGATCTAGGGTTTATGGCTTTGGATTATCAATTGCATGTTCATTAGACAAACTAGATCCAAAGCTATTAGGGTTTGCATGTACACCATAGGATTGATGTATTACTCGAAACCCATCACCTTCCACGTATCTCAGTTGCGGAAGTGTGTAGTCGATGAGACGGCAGTGGTACCCCTAGAGAACATTCAGGTGGATGCGAGCCTGAATTACATTGAGAGACCGATCACGATTTTAGATCGAAAGGTGAAGGTTTTGAGGAACAAAGAGGCGCCCCTGGTTCAGGTCCAGTGGCAGCATCGGAAGGGGTCCGAGTCGAATTGGGAGCCGGAGTCGGAGATGCGGGAGCAGCATCCAGAGTTATTTGTGGAGCATGACTTCGAGGGCGAAGTCTGATTCTAGTGGGGGAGAATTCTAACATCCCAAGTCCAAGTATACCTTGTAAACCTTAATCTTTTGAGCAATTGTTCATTTTGGCCCTTTTTAGAAAAAAGGTGGTAAATGAGTACGCGGGGCATACTAGAGTGTACGTTCAGTGTACTCATATGCGTGCATTTGACGCGGAGACCACCTAGTACGCTGGGCGTACGAGGTCCAGAATGACAACCCTAATTGTTGGTGAGTCCCCTATATAAAGGATATGATGGCCTCATTCCTGGCCACCATTCCTAGACACCAAACCCTCCTAACCCTAAGTCACCGTTCTTATAGCTTGTGAGTGCGTTTGAGAGCTTGTGAGTGTAATCTTGTGTTCTTGAAGTGGAGAAAAAGCCTTGGAGAAGAAGGAGTGAGAGTCCAGGCTTTTGGATCTGAGCTTAGCTGTGTGGAAATCTTCACATAGAGGTATAAAGCTTCAAGCTTTCTCACTCTTTTGATTTGTGCATTTATATGGAGTATTTTAGGGTTTTGTCCCAAAAGATGGAGACTTTATGAGATAATGAGCTCCATAGACTATGATCAACCCCTTTTAGTGTATTTTGTGGAGTAAAGTCATAAAAATTCAATCTTGGACGTTAGAAGCAAGCCATGCATGAGATATGAGCTTTATGAGGAAAGAGGATGAGTGTTTTGAGTGTTTGTGACCTAATCAGCTATGCAAAGGCTTAAAGTCACTGACTTTATGGATTAAGAGATATTAGGGAGTCCAGATCTGTGATATGAGCCAAGGTCTTAACTGATTAAGACCAAATATGTGAGGAGAGTGAAACTGGGACTTACGTTGGGCGTAATCCTAGTACGCGCAGCGTAGGGGTCGAGCATCCCCGATATCTGCATGGCAGCTAAGTACATCCAGCGTAGAGAGTTGGTACGCGCAGCGTACTCCGTGTCGTTGACTTTTGGTTGACTTTTAGGGTTTTGGTCAACGTGTGGTCTATTGAGCCCATGGAGAGCTAAAATGGTATTTTACCCTTCTGTGAGTGTATGGAAGGGTTAGTTTAGCTTCATGAGAGCAGCTATTAATTAGGGATAATTATTGTGTGTGTTAGGCGGAGGATAGACTGGTGATTCGAGATCGAGGTTGTCCAATTCTTACGAGGTGAGTCTTCTCACTATACTTACCATGAGTGGTATTTATGAGTGACCGGAGGGTCTTATGTGTTTACTTGAGTTATGCATCTTGTCTGTGTGATATATGTATGCTACATTATATGTTACTGAGACCGGACCGGAGGGTCCAACGAGCTAGAGCCATGAGAGGCTTATTATCTGTGTATGTGGTATTTTGGGGAACTCACTAAGCTACGTGCTTACCGTGTTATGTGTTTCAGGTACTTCTAAGGATCACGGGAAGGCGTCGGCATGATTGTACACACGCATCAGAGTTTGAGTTATGATTTAGAGGATCGTGGAGTTTGATATATATACAGTCTTTGATTATGAGATTTGATGATTGACATTGTGACATTTTAAGGTTTTATTACTGTGATAAATGTGTTTTTAAATTGAAAATTTTGGTTTAAAAGATTACGTTGTTACAGAAACTTTACAAATTCCAAAACTTGAGGGCAAGTTTTGAAACTTGTCAAAACTTTTCAAATCCGTAACTTATGAGTTTAATATAGGTTTTATGAAAAGACTTTTTGACATTCCATAACTTGAGGACAAGTTATGGAGTTCATAAAACCATTTATGGGAAAAAAGCTCTTCAATTTCATAACCTATGATTTTAATGATCTCTTAAAAAAAAACATTTCATTTTCCATAACTTGAGGACAAGTTATGGAATTCATCAAAACCATTTAGATCAAAAATTTCTAACAAGAAAATCAAACAATTTGCTTATGATCTAGATTAAACTCATAAGAACAAGACAATTCATATCAAACAAATTTCATCTAATTAGCCTAACCATATAAACTAATATAAAACATGAAACTTTGACAATTATCTTTTAAATTGGATAAGCATGATCATTACCACATCAAAAACAGGTTTATAAGTTCAAAATCAGTTTAGGGTAATGATCCTAGTCTAATTCCAGCCTTAAAACTCGAAATTCTGCATCCAGGAGCACCAACTCGTCGAGTGCATGAACTAACTCGGCGAGTTGGTCAGATTATAGGGTGGACTCGTCGAGTTCCCCAGTGGACTCGGCGAGTCCACTGTCCAGACAGTAGAAAATCGATTTTTCAAGCTTTTGAAAACAAGTAGCATCAAGTATATAGGAAAACAACCCTAGGCTCTGATACCACTGAAGGGTTTTGAGCATTCTAACACTCCTATGGTGTACATGCAACCCTAGATGCTTTGGATCTATGTTTTCTCTAATATACATGCAAACTTGGTTTTTCCAAAGCATCATCCTAACTAGCATATAATGGAGTATCTTTACTACAAATTCTAGTTAGATGACATACCTTTTGTTGTAGTTGGAAGCCTTGGACCTTTAAGAACTTAGTGTCCCAAGTGTTGCACCTCAAATGGAATCACACAACACCACCAACAATGAAGGAACTTGAGAGGAGGTTACTTGCACTTCATAAAATCGGTTTGCCCTCTTGTAAGCTTACTTAAGTCAGATTTCATGAGCTAGAGGGGTTCTTATATAGTGTGGCTTAATTAGGGTTACACCATGCAAACCCTAATGTGCATGACCTTCCATATTCCTCATGCTCAATGGGTTTAACCCTCCATGGATCATCCATGGGTCACCACATGGGTTTAGCCCAACACAAAGAACTATGGATCATAAGCGCACATTATAAGAATGAATGATTTACATAATCAATCCCCATATATTTAATTAGTCTCTTTTGATCACAAAATTAATTCCAAATTAATTCTTGATCAATACTAATTAAATAATATGATTTCATATTAATATATTAGAAATTATAATATATTAATAAATCATAAATAACCTCTTCTCAATTATCCATCATTCAGATTGTTCCGGTGCCATGCAACCCAAATGGACCATGCTACTCTCGGATCAAGTACATACCATTTATAGTTATGGACTTAGACACTAATCCAATAGTTTTTTCGATCAACATGTTTTACTTGTGCCGTTCACTAATCACCCCATTCTTTCACAACTCGATCCATATCTTAGGTATGTATATCGGTCATTTTAGTTAATTATTCCAACAAAGAAAAATGGAACCTAACGAGCCAAACTTCAAATAATTCATTTCATTTGATTGTTCCGACAAAGAAAATGGGAACCAACGAGCCTTCTTTTCTACGAGAGTTGTGAGATTGAGCAAAATAAATGTAGAAGGAAGGAGATGTTGTTCACTTTTTGGTGTTTTCCATAATAGGATTTTGATGGGGTTGGTGTCAGTTGTGCAGAAGACCGACGTTGATGGTGGTGAAAGATATATCGTATGCATTCGGCTGTGAGGTTTAGGGGAAAGATGAGATAGATACATGAACACCCCGCTCCCGATTTGAAGCAAAGAAAAGAAGAGAAGAGAAAAGAAAGTAAGGAGAGAAAATAAGAGAAAAGAAAGGAAAACAAATTTGTCTTTTGTGCTCCCGAGTTGGAGAGAAATGGAAGGAAAATTAAACATTTTATTCTTTCTTTTCAAATCCTCCCAAATCGGAAGGAAAGTTAGGAGGGAAAGTGATCCTTCCATTTCCTTCCACTTCCTTCCTTTAATGAAACTCGGGAGCATCAATCTCTCTTACTTTCCTCTCATTTCCACTCATTTCCTTTCTTTTCTCTCCTTAAGTTGAACTCGGGAGCGGGGTGAAAAGGAGGAAGTGGAAAGGGTAAAGATGGAGGGGAACATTGTTAAGGTAGGATCTCCACGTATCATAATAACATAACTATTTAAAAAGAAATTAAAAGTAAAATAATCATTTTAATTCAAACCGTCACCAAAATTGAAACAAATTTTAACCACATGGGTCAAAGTTAAAAATTAAGTTAAGGATAAAACATGTATTTGACCCCAAATGACACGGACGATTATGTAATTTACTAAATTTACTAAATTGTAAATAATAATTAGACAAACATCCAAATTTAAACAACATTAATACAATTTAACAATTTAAATGTAAAACACACACATAAACAAATTAAACGGATGAACAAAAAAACAAATATAATTAAATTAACGATCACTGTTTTAGCAAATAATTAAATATAAACCAATTAACAAAATATGTAATATGTATTATTGACAAACATGACACATCTAATTAGCATGCGCATATACTCATTTAGGCAGTAAACCAATATATAAATTAACACAATTCATTTCCTTTATGCGTTTACCCTTGTTACAGAAAGAATAAAAGAGCATTATAGTTACCACCCAAGCCTCTTCACATCAACATAACAAAAAAGAACTCGTTGAGCATTTTGTAAGTTATGCGAAACCATTAACTGAAAATCCTCCATCAACAACAATTGTTTGGCCAGTGATATAAGAAGCAGCAGGCATGCAAAGAAACGCCACGATTGATGAAACTTCATTTGCTTCTGCAACGCGTTTCAGAGGAGTCCTTGATACCACTCTATCTAAAAGCTCCTTATTACCTAGCAACTAAACAAAAGAAAATTTGCATGGCTTATCTATAAATTTTAAAGAAAGATCAAAGAAAGAATGGTAGAATCATCGATGGATGTATATTAATATTACATGTTCGACAAGCGGGGTTCTTGTGAACCATGGTGATACACTATTACTCCGAATGTTATCTTTAGCCCATTCACATGCTAAATTCTTTGCAAGCTGATTCATTGCACCTATAGACACGAAATAGAAGTTAAATTAACAACCCCACAACACCAAATATGATTACGTACGGATAATGGATATTAATTACCTTTAGTGGCTCCATAGATAGATCCAGAAAAAACATGAGTAGAACCTGCAACAGATGAAATGAACACAACGCTTCGAAATCCAGAAGCTTTTAAAAGAGAATGTGAAAGTTGAGACATATGGTAACAAGATTCAAAATTGGTAGCCATGATCAGGGAATACTCTTCAGCAGTATAGTCCGTAGTAGGTTTCATTATGTTCATCCCAACATTGTTTATCTACAATAAGTATGAGGATCTGTACATTATTGTAGCCTCGATCCTTATGTTTAACATAATAAGGAAACAGAAAATCGTTCAAAACAGCAAGCAAAAAGAAGTTAATTACTAAGATATTGAGCTTTCCATTGAATATAGTGGAGACTTTTTCTAGAAGCTGTTCACGCTGAGGACGAGAGGCTGCATTGCAGACGGATCCGGTGACTGTGAAGCCCTTGGAAGACCATTCTTGTAAGAGTTGGTTGAGCTCAGCCTCATTGCGAGAGCAGGTGTGCACCGCTGCCCCCAACTCCGCCAGTTCCACCACCACAGCGTAGCCGATCCCATGTGTTCCACCGGTGACGAGAGCAGTCATTCCGGCGAGAGACCATCTGGGATTTGTAGTTGCAGAGAGGCTCTCCGGCATTGACGTCATGTTATGATATCTGTGGAAGAGGAAAGAAAAGAGACGAAATTAGTTTCTTCCAGCTTTAGGTTTGTATAGATCTAGTATTAGAGTATAGTGATATTAACATTTTTCAAATTTTAATTGAAAGTATTTGAAATTTTTTGGTAATAGAGTATTAATGTTTTTTTTTTGAAAAAGACGGATAAAATTTTCACCGTTAGTAATAAAAAGAGTAATGAAAGACAATTTACGTAAATCAAATAGAAAAACGGAATTAACAATTAACAATTAAGCATATGTCGATATCATTTAAAGAAATTAAAAACGCTAACTTAAAATTATTTGAAACTAAGACACTATGCGGTTCAGGCCAATTATTGCAATTTTTAATCAAAAGAATTTGGTTATCTTTCAATGTCAAAAGATATGCAATATAAATGAAAAGGCAATCAATAATTTTTTTAATTTTTATTAGCTTATCACTCTATTAATATTTAATTAGTTATTATACATTAAGACTTAAATGTAAATATAAAATGTTCTGTTCATTTTCTAGTTATTCATGCTTCTTGAAAGAATTTCTTCGATTCCTTGCAACAAACAAAGAGAGCCTATGATGGACAATCATAAAACTCTTGGACAGCCATAAAGCTTAAGAGTAGACGAGACAGTTTAACACATGACACGGCCGACAACAAGACATGAGTTATCCGTGTATGTATTTAAGAAATTTATGATTGATGTCAACACAATAACTACATTCATGTTTTATGTCTGATACATGTCAAATACGAATTTATCTATTTAAACACATATAAGACACGACTTAAATTATCATGACATGTGGCACGTTTAAACATGTATAGACACACGACACATATAAACATGTATATATACATATAGACATGTGACACGTGACATGTATAAATATATATACACTTGAATTAATTGCATGTTTTCCTATCGAATCAGTGGTAGATAATGTGTGTATAAATTCATGTTTTTGTATAACACGGTTAAAAACATGTCTATGTTTGTAATGTTATATGTCATACAAATTAATTACTTGTCGTGTTTGTGTTTGATATCAAAAACATGTTTTATAATTTATGTCGTATTCATGTTTTACAAATTCGTATTGTGTAAATTTGTGTCTGATACGACACAACATTAAAACACGAATTGTCAGGTGTACCTAAGAGTATCCAAAGCTTTTAGCTTTTTCATTAAAAACTTGAAATAAAAAATATAACATTCGTTTTCATGATTCTCGGTAGTTGTTTCATCCATTTTAATTTTGTGGAATTTCGAGTTGCACGGCGCGACCAATACAACATTTTTCGTTCACTATATGTAAATGGTATCTCATGTACTTAGTCACTTACTTCAGATGATTCGTAATTATCTATTATAACTCCTTCACTATGAGTTTCTCAGACAGTGAGCATGAAGAAAGTTTTATCATCCTGTTTGTTTACCTACATAAGGCGAACCAACCATCATAGTTATACGGACGTCAAAACTGATGTGATGAATCGTTTCCAACTTAGTTTTGTGGCTATTGGATGTGTGGTAATTTTATAACATTTTGTAGCTATAATGTCTTACAGCCACTATTAATATGCAACTACCATACATCGTAAACGTAGTTTATTAGCAAAGTAAAAAACTTGAGATTGAGTTCATATGAGTTTGGTGTTTGGCATTGTGAAGAAGAAGAAGATTGTTATGTTTGTTCAGATATTAACCCATTTCCAGAAGGCCCAAGTTTCCCACTCCCGAATAAAATGTTTGATGACATTTTCGAAGTTATAACGGTCGTTGAAGAAGCCAACGAAAGGCACTATGAAATAGGTCGGACACTCGATCAACGTGCATACAATCTAGCGGAATAAGTAAATGAAAAAGAAAAATGGGTTTCTAAAACTATGAAAAAAGTCAAAGAAGTTGAGAAGTGGATTCGAGCTGCAAATGCGGAGATTGATAAGCTTCGGGCAGAACGAGACCGCCTAACAGATGTTGTTAGAATTAGAGTAGATTTTATTGAGCGCAGACAAAATATGTATCCCTTACAATTTTCTAATTTGTAGAAACCAATATAAGTAGGTAATAGCGTTTGTAACGACTGTTTAACTAATGTTAATGAAAAGCATTGTCATTTTAGAAAACCCTACCATTTCTTTTACATAATTAAATTTGAAATGGTATTACAATATTTAAAGTTATAATACATTTCTAGGATAACTATGAACTTGCATCCGGTACAAACTAATAGTGTTTTCATGATTTTCAAACAATTTCATATATGTCACAATTAGGCTAAAATGCACTCGTTCTCCAATTGTTGCACTTGTCCTACGTGTTTCTTCGATGATGTCCATTATGTTCACAAACTGTCGTATATCTTCAAACATCGTAATTAGGAGCATTTGCATATTATACAATGGTAATTTTCTATGCTCATTGACCATAAAAGGCGGTAATGAGATTTTCAGTATTATTATTCGTTGTTCCGCACGTTGATAATCAAAATTCATTTCTAATGTAGTCGTATCAATAAGACGCTGTTGCTCGTCTTCAAGACGTAGTATTTCATAGTCTGTTGACAAAGCATCCTCATCAATCGAGTCACTGGATGTTGGAGACTGAAATTAAAAAAATATTAAAAATATATGTATTAAAAAAAGGGAATGTTCCAAAATTAAAACCAACTTGGAGAAACATATCCATATCAAAAATTATAAATTCGCAACTAGTCTAAAATAACCGGTTTATCTAAACTAGCTCCTGTCTCATAATTTTCGAGGTGCCCTTTGTAACATCCATAAAAATCATGATAAATTTAAACTTTTAAAAACAACCCAAATTCATAAATTGTTTACAAAATGGTTTTCAAAACGTTATCAACATCAGAGTCTCCCAAAACCACAAGTCAAAACATGAGGATGTGTACGGTCACGCCTTCGCTGTCCCACGGTCATCTGAAGTACCTGAAACATAACCAAAAATTCTAAGCCAACACTTAGTGAGTCCCCCCCACAGTACCAACACGCAAACAAATAACATATACAATAACAACATGTCGGGTCCAATCAACCATCGGGTTGAATACCCCAAGGCCCAAGCCCCTTAACCATCGGGTTGGAATGCCAATACACTATGGATCCAGTCAACCATCGGGTTGGAATACCCCAGACCCGTCAACCATCGGGTTGAAATGCCAATACACAACGGGTCCTGTCATCCTCGGGATGGAATACCCTTGGGCACGTTCAACCATCGGGTTGGTATGCCCCCAGCCTGTTGGCTTACGCACAAAGCAGTAAAGCATCAGCCACCAACCAAATATGTGAATATATATAACAGATAATCATATAACAATCTACAGACATATCTACAGATCACTAAGCATTACATCATCCTATATACCAGGATACCGATCTAACAGATCACTACAGTACAATAGCATATATAACATGATATCAAATCCAAAGGGCCGACCTTGGTGCCTTCGACCCGCAAGTACAATGAGGAAAACTCACATCACAAACTAAACAGAAGTTGATGAGGTCCCGACTCCGAATCTCAGCTCTCTAACCAACACCTATTCCCACCAATGACCAATTTCCATAAAAATCCCAAAATACCCTCAATGTCAAACTTGGTCAAAGTCAACTGGTCAAACCAACTAGGTCAACTAAGTCAACCCAGTCGAGTCAACTCAGGGTGCGTACGCAGGGCGTACTTTGGAGGTACGTTGGGCATACACGCAACCTCGCAGTTGACCACCATCGGGGTGGTTGACCTCGTACGTAGGGCGTACTCCGAGTATGTGGGGCGTACACTCACAAGTCCCAAAATCTATTTAAGAGCTTAATGGTTTAAGCTCTTACGTCCATAACTCAAATCCATGGCTAAAATCCTCCTAGGAGTCATAAAGTCTCCAACTTTATGACCTATCATGTCCAATAAGTGCTTAACACAAGGTCTTATTCCATTAAGACCTTCTAAATGATGTATGAAGCAATACTAACCATTTGGAACCCATTTTTATGACTTAAGACCCCTCCTAGGGTCTGAAAGGACAACTCAAAGGTCAAGAACATGCTATATTCAAGATATAACATTTTTGGGACCAAAAAGGTCCATAAAGACAACCAAAACTACATCTATGAGCTAGAGGGACAAAGTTGCAAGCTTTTTACCTTAGAATGGTTGCAAAAGATGTAGAAATCCCAGATCCAAGTGTTCCACTCCTTCAAGATGAGCTTGGTTTCCTTCCTTCTTCTTCTAAGGCGCCAAAATACACACTCTAAGCTCCAAAATGCTCCTCAAGGTGAAACTAGGGTTGCAAGGACGTATGAGAGGGATGGAGGCAACTAGGGTGAAAGAAATGAGGCCATATGAGTTCTTAAATATAAGTCACACCCTAAAAATTAGGGTTTCCTTAACTGGCAAGTACGCTTAGCGTACACCATGTACGTATGGCGTACTCCGAAGACCATAATTACCACAATGCCATTAGGGCTCCTTTTGCATACTTTCTCGAACTTAGGGACCAAAATGCAACATAATAAAATTATAGGGTTGAAATTTGAAGTACCATATCATCAGGATGTTACACCCTTGGTGGTTTATTGTTTGTTTTTTTTCCTAATTAAACATCTTGTTTTTTTATCTGAAAAAAATTCCAACATTATTTTATTATATTACCATAAAAATACAAAATATTTATAACATTTTTTAAACTTTTTCTTACCTTTATCGGACGTAATTCTAAAAGTTCATGTAAATAGAATACAATTCACCGTTCGTAAAACCCACCTTTTTAACAACATCCACGCAAATTGATCTTCGGACTAATATTGGGTATCGGTTTAACGCAAAAAATATTAAATTAATTTAAAAATACCATAAACAAAACAAATGTTGAATTGTTACTCTGGATTGTCATTTTGGAATTGATCTTTGTATTCTGGACTTTGTTCTTCGTATTCCGGATTGTGACTATCATTCCAGAATCACTTGTAATGGCTAATGTGGATTTATTTATTCGCTAAAAAATGGTGCTAAACACATTTTAAGCTACTTACATGGTTTTTATATATGTGAAAACATTAAAAAATAAAAAACTAGATATTCCAGACTAGTTCTTCGTATTTTGGAATGTTATACGCATTCCGAAATACATATAATTATTTGTAAAAGTAAAATGCAAGTAAATAAAAGACAAATATGCAAAAATGGTCCATGTGGTATGCAAATTTTTGGGGTTTTAGTCCAAACTCCGAGTTTTTTGGATTCATGGTCCTTTTGGAGTGGTTTGTATGTGAAAATAGTCCCTCCAAAAATTGAAATGACTATATTACCCTTGGGGTATTTATTTTTCATTTTCTTTCATTTTTTTTTAAATTTAATATCTATTTATTTATTTTAACAATTAAAAAAATAATAGAGGGCCCACCTCTCTCTCTCTCTCTCTCTCTCTCTCTCTCTCTCTCTCTCTCTCTCTCTCTCTCTCTCTCTCTCTCTCGGATGCTTCCGGTGACAAACCTAGATCGTCTAATTCTTTAACTATCAGAGTTCAAATGATATAAACGCCCTTTAATTCTTCATTTTTCCTGATTTTGGGTCGATTCACGTTTAGACTTCTGTAAATTCTGGAAATAGGTGCAACCTCACTCTTGTTGAAACTTTTGCTTCCCTCCCTTCAGCGTGATCGACACCTTATAGAATTTGATGGCTGTTTCTAGGGTTTTAAAACTATTGATTTGGGGATGAAAGAGTTGCAGATTTCTGGGTTTGCTCTTCAAGAACAACAGAAGAAATCGATTGAGAAGTTGAAGACATATCAGGGGACGAAATCAATTTGTTCCAGTTTATGGGTCAACATCGATTTTGTTCCAGATTCTCGAATCCATACACGTTGAACATTGAAGAAATCGATTTACGATTCCAGATTGATAGGTAAGAATCAACTTTATTCCTTATTCTTGAACAAGAAATCATCAGAAGCCCTGTAACTCGGTTTTGATTTGGATGCTTTACCTGATACGATTACATCAGCAGATTACAAAACAAGCAAATAAATTGTATTACGTAAGAAATTAGGGTTGTCCAGTAACCTCGGAGATCGGTTTCTGAGAAACATAACCTTCGGGAGATGTGTACTTATCGTAAGAATTATCATCGCCATCTTCTTGAAGCATGTAATCCGCCATTTTTCGAGTCAACTCATCAACGAACTCGTCTTCATCGTCGTTGTCAGCCTCACTTGAATCCTGCTCCGACCCGAACGAGGTATTCATACAGGAAGAAGAAGAGCCCCATGAGCCGGTGAAAGCAGACTCGAAACTCAATGGATTCGGATTAATGATGTATTGATCAGCAACGAGTAAGCTCGAGTGATTTGAATCATTAAACTCATCGGCCATGGGAGTTCAAAGCTTTCAAGTTTCAACAGAAACTATACTTATTCACTGTGTGTTGATGTATGAGAGAGAGAGAGAAAGAGACAGAGGGGTGGGCCCCATATTTTTAATTAATAAAACATTAAATTAAATAGATTAAACAAAAAAATATATATATCAGAAGGGCATGACAGTCATTTCACTATTCAGAGGGACCAAAAACGCAACGAAACTAGCTCAAAAGGACCACCAATCCAAAAAAGTCGTGGTTTGGACTAAAACCCCAAAAGAATGTATACCACAGGGACCATTTTTGCAATTTTGTCTAAATAAAAGAGTAAACTCATGGTTTGTTGAAACTATAGTTTATAAGCTTAAAAAACTCTGTTCGAAATGTCGTGGCAAGAGATTTGGAATTTCACTTTGTGGGCCATATATATATATATATATATATATATATATATATATATATATATATATATATATATATATATATATATAACATTGGGCTTGACCCGTTTTGGTTTGGTTCGAAATGATTGTTTGGACACAATGGTTAGTTTTCAAAAAAAAATGTTGATTATTTTTATTGAAATAAACTAAAGATAAAACTTCAAAAATGGTCCCTGTGATTTTCGAAAATATCAAGTTTAGTCCCTAAGTTCAAAAAACCTCACAGATGGTTCCTGTGGTTTCAAAACTTTTAACATTTGGTCCTTCCGGCTCACTCCGTTAGCATTTCACCGTTAAGTAAGGGGCATTTTTGTCATTTCACTACCTAGGGACCATTTATGAGGTTTTCTATTACTTTTTTTTAAATAAATAATATTTAATATGCAAGGGGTCCCACCCCCTCCCTCTCTCTCTCTCTCTCTCTCTCTCTCTCTCTCTCTCCGCCAAAATAATAAAGGACCATATTAACCCACCTCCACTGCCATCAACATTGCAGCCTTCCCCTTCCTTCTCATCGTGAACCACCGGATGCCAAAATAACCGGGCAGCAGAGCTGCCACCCACCATTGGCAAAACCCACTTCACCACCGCCACCGCAGTGACTGTTGGAACACCCCTACTCTGACCATCTATCATCTGACATCGTCCATCGCTCTTCCCTCTCGTCATCCCCGCTGAGCAGAAGCAAGAAGGAAGCAAGAAAGGCAACCGGAGCAAACTCCGGCCACCACTATAGCCGCCATCTGCTGCTACCACCATGATTCCAGCCGCCACCACCACCTTCTACTGCTTCAATCGATTTACAATGCAAAATTACCTTTTATGGAAGGATCTTGGGAGGATTGGTAGAGGACTAAGAAGCACAAGAATGTGAGGAGTGGGATCAGGTGAAGAGAATGATAATGGATAAGCAGAGCACCTACGATTCCTCATGCTTGTATCCAAGTCTCTTACAATTTTCCCTTATTTTAATTCCAACTCCTTAATTTCTTATTCCCATCTCTATACATGTTCATCTATTTGCTGAATTGGATATCTCTGGACAGAAAATTGGAATTGTATGCTTCCAATGGTGATAACTCTTACTAAATAAATCAGAAAAATGAAGGAGGAGAAAAATGCACTCCAGGTGCTCGATGAAACAGCTGAAAGAAATGTTTCTTCGCAAAACTGAAAGTGTATAATTTCACACCTGGAGAAGAAGATTGGCTCTGAATTCGAACAGGCCACACTCGATGAGGTGTTTGGGTTACAACAACAGCAACACCACCCTTGGGGGTGGTGGTGTTTCTCGGTAGTGAAGGAAAAGGGGAAGGGCAGTAGAAAAACGTGAATGGAAGGCAGTAAGTGGTGGTATTTGAGGGTGGGTTTGAGTGATCAAACGGGATGGAATATGGGTGGCTGGGTTGTGGTTTCTGGTGGGGAAGGAGGTGATGGCAGTGGTGGTTTTATGGCGGAAGGTGGTGCTACCGTGTGGAATCGTAAGTGAGAGAGAGAGAGAGAGAGAGAGAGGGGGGGTGGGACCCCTTGCATATTAAATATTATTTATTTATTTAAAAAAAAGTAATTGAATACCTCATAAATGGTCCCTGTGTAGTGAAATGACAAAAATGCCCCTGACTTAATGGCTAAATGGTAACGGAGTTAGCCGAAATGACCAAATGTTAAAAGTTTTGAAACCACATGGACGATCCGTGAGGTTTTTGTAAATTAGGGACCAAACTTGGTATTTTCGAAAACCATAGGGACCATTTTTTGAAGTTTTGTCTAAACTAAAATGTAGATTACTCAATTTTCCTTAAAATAATGTTTTTTTAAAGGTTAGTTCGAATGAAAATACTACTTTATTAGCCTGTATAATAGTGTTTTATTAGGCGGTTAAAATTAGGTTTTAAAAACGGAATTGCAACAACAAATTCTTTTTATTGAAATCACTAATTTTTGACAAAAAAAATTCTTGTACCGTAATCAATGCCTTTTGAGAATTACGAAGATCATTTTTGTAATTTGCTTTATTTTTGCAGTTCAGTCTAAAGTTAATTCATGAACTTTCTGTTACTCAACATTCAACACCTTGTTAAAATATGAGATATCATATCAGTTTTTGTAAGAAGAAACTCCTTCACCAATCATTTATTTAACAAGCATCATGACGATTTCTACATCATCTATTTTCATACTCATTTCTCGTTTTATAAACAAGTAATTTTACATGCCAATATTTTCTATTAATTTTCAAAGTCACGAGAAACCATTAACAGAAAATCCTCCATCAACAAGAATTGTTTGGCCAGTGATGTAAGAAGCAGCAGGCATACAAAGGAACGCCACCATTGATGACACTTCATTCGTTTCAGCAATGCGTTTCAAAGGTGTTCTTGATACCAATGTATTTATAAACTCCTCATGATTATTAAACAACTACACAAAACAAAATAAATTCTTACGATAGGATCAAAAAATGTCAATAAATATAACAATTAGAAAGAAGGCTAGGATTGAGTTATATTACACGTTCCACAAGTGGGGTCCTAGTGCACCCTGGAGCTACACTATTACTCCGAATGTTATCTTTCGCCCATTCACAAGCTAAATTCTTTGCAAGTTGATTCATAGCAGCTATGCACAGAAAATGGAAGCTTAAAACTTCTTTGTAACACCAAATACAATGATCAGGAAAATCAAACCATATACCTTTAGTGGGTCCGTAGATAGATGTGTAATTAACATGAACAGAACCTGCAACAGAGGAAATGAACACGATGCTTCCAAATCCAGAAGCTTTTAAAAGAGGATGTGAAAGTTGAGAGATATGGTAACAAGATTCCAAATTGGTAGCCATGATCAGGGAATACTCTTCTGCAGTATACTCCAAACTAGGTTTCACTATGTTCGTCCCAACATTGTTTATCTACAGTTTTGGAAGTTTGTATAATAATTTGTAAGAATACAATTAGTAACACAAGAATGAAACTTGGACGTATGGAAGAATTCCCCAATTTATCGCTGAGATAAAATTAAAAGAACTTACTAGGATGTTGAGCTTTCCATTGAAGACAGAGGAGACTTTTTCTAGAAGCTGTTCGCGTTGAGGACGAGAAGCTGCATCGCAGATGGATCCGGTGACTGTGAAGCCCTTGGAAGACCATTCCTGTAAGCGTTGGTTGAGCTCAGCCTCGTTGCGAGAGCAGGTGTGAACCGCCGCCCCTAACTCCGACAGTTCCTCCACCACAGCGTAGCCGATCCCATGTGTACCACCGGTAACGAGAGCCGTCATTCCGGCGAGAGACCATCTGGAGTTTCTAGTTTCTGAACTGCTCTCAGCCGCTGCGGCCGTCGTCATTATCAGATTGTTTTGAAATATTGCAGTGGACTATCGATATGTTCGACAAGATGACTAATTTCACTCCTTCCGATTTGTTACAAGCGGATCAGGGGAGTTGCTGTATGGTCCAGATTTTCCCCACTCAATCGACGCCTTTTTTTTTCTCTTCGTGCGTATCACGTATCTTTTTACGTATTTTATTTGAACTTTTTTGATTGTTGTGGTAAGGTCCAAGAATGAAAAACGAGTAGGATCGTATTTGGGGTAGGATCATAGTATCGGATTTGGGCTACGATCCTATCCTTCCTTCCATTGATTTTTTATTTATTTATTATTCTTTTTTTTGCAAATGAAACTTTTTTTACCACTTTAATTTACCGTTTATCATTTTGTGTTGTGACTTATATCTAATATTTTGAAGTTTTTATATCGTTCGAACAAAAAGTTGAATGTTTGAATTTTTTTTCATGTTTAAAGATTATAAATTAAAATTATGTTTTATTTTGTGGGATCTTAGGATCCCGATCCCGACCTTACAATCCTGATATTGCAAACCCAAAAACGATCCCACGTAGGATCCCGATCTTAACAACCTTGCAAATTATCTATTTGTTTTATTAAAAAATATTCCCTTAAACTCTTTTTTTATATATATATTTAACCAGAATCTTGTTTTTATACATATTGACTACTGAATTCTTTTATTCTAATTTTTATTAAAAAAAATGGTGATGATTGGTATCAAACTCGAAACCTCAACCAAGGGAAGTACCAATTGTACCACTAAGCCAATTTGCGTTTTCGATTTTTAATCTTCTTTAATATAATACTCCCTTCGTCCCAAAATTATTCTCCACAGACGAAAAACATACAAATTACGAAAACATTAATTATCACTAATTTTATTAAATGAAATGACAATTGTGCCATTTTTTTCATTTAATTACATCATTTTGTTGCATTTAATTCAATGATAGGTTAACCAATAATGACGAGTATTTTGGTAAATGTGATATTTGTTTTTAAAAATATATTATTATTTTGGGACAAACCAAAAACGAAATATGAACTATTAATATGGGACGGATGAAGTATATTGTTAGAAGATCTGCTAAACGTTATAACGTTATAGGAATAATAATAATAATAATGAAGACAAGAATCGAACGTGGGTCTCTTCATAATTAGGGCCGGTCCAAGCCGATTTGAAACCCCGGACAAATTAAAAAAATATATATATGGCCTTTACATTAAAAAGAAGTAGTAAAGGAAAGTGTATGGTTTTTTTTTGTTTTGTTTTTCTTGAATGAGCCATTCTTATAAATTTATCCTTAAATCGTTTTTGTAATTTTAGTTGTTTGGTTTTTTTGTTTTTGTTTTTTCCTTTTTTCAGTATCAGATAAATGTTTATTAAGAAAAATGTTATTATTTTAAACTTATAAAACAATTAGAAAAAAAAAATAAGTAAAGGAAATGAAAACCACCTGCTTCTTAATCGTTGTCTAGGACCCAACACCAAAGATTTCAAAACTTGTGATGTTGAAGTTTCAAGTTATCAACAAGAATTTCAAAAAGAAAATGCTTAAATTAATTAATTTTTTATCAAAAAACTAACATGAAAGAATTAAAGAACAGTAACGAAATCTCACAATTTACACGAATCATAAATCCGAATCAACGATTCTGTCTGATTAACACGAATACAAGATTGATAGAATGCGTGAAATAAGATTATCATAATCGATGTATTGAGAAATATTAAAATCGGAAATCAGATTAACACGAATACAAGATTGATAGGATGCGTGAATTAAGATTATCAGAATCGATGTAGTGAGAAATATTGAAATCAGAAATCAGAACATTGAAATTTAAATCGAAAATAAAAAATCAGAAGGATGCGTGAAAAACCATAATCCATTTATTGTGAATTGATTTTTTTTTGTTGAGGGTTTAAAAAACCCATAATTAATCCATATATCCATTCTATCGATGGTAGTGAGAGGCCAAATGAGATGATTATTTTAGAAGAATCATATGTCTCTTAGTCTTCCCTACTAATTTTTGTTTTGGCTCTATGTTTTTTCCTTCTTTCGCTCAGCCGCTATACACAATATATCAAAGTTTTTTTTTCCATTACTAACATAATAAGATATATAAAAATGAGAACCTAAAAATGTAACACCCCATTTTTAATGTTCTATAAGCTTCAATATAAACAAATGTTTCTATAATTCGAAGTAGAAATATATTACTCTTTAGCCCAAGAAAAATAGGAAAAATAAAATGAATTGTCTGTAAATCGTAAAAATGAGTATTCTAAAACATATATATATATATATATATATATATATATATATATATATATATATATAGAGAGAGAGAGAGAGAGAGAGAGAGAAAGAAAGTAAAAAGTCATCCCAATCCCAAAAATATAACGTTCTTAGAAATCTTATTCCGTATGAATTAGATATGATTTTTATAAGATATAAAAGTCAATCGCGCACAAGGAATGTGTGACATAAAAAGCGACAAAGAAAATGGTTGACCTTTAGCTAAAGTTACCAAAAGGAAAATCATAGTACTCTTTAAGATAATAATTTTGAGAAAAAAAATGTCAATAACGGAGTTCGTACGAGAAAGTTATGATTTTAGCAAAATCATTTAATTCTATAAAAATATCGATGAAAAAATAAAGTAAGAATTAGTTGTTAGGGTCCAAAGGAAATTTTTGGATCTCGTCGAGAGCTTTCTGGGGATATAAAGAACGTCAAAAACGGAGTTTGTATGAAGAAGTTACGGAATTTATAAAAATTGTGTTTTGCTAATTATTCTGATAGGTGTGGAAATTGAATCGGGGTATATATGTGACTTCTTCCTCTTGAAGGCTCATTAAGACTCGACCAGTGCCTAATCCATCCTTACTTGATGCTCTATCTGTGTGTAGCATCCAGGTTTCCTCAGGCCTTGTCTTATCTTGCAAGCCGGTGGGAGTTTAGCTTTAAGGTGGATGTTGTACATCTTTTGGTATTTATGTCAAGAAGTTGTCGTTGGTTCAAGGAAAATATTAAATATCATGTTCCCCCACCTTAATTACTTATTTAGCCAGCCTTTCCGGTTTCTCAGGCTTGATGAGTATTTTCTTAACGGGTTGACTCGTCAGTACCTCGAGATTCTTTGTGATTGCTTCCTCCCGACTCGAATTTGCATTTCCAAGACAAAAGAATACACAAGCAGAAACTTAGAGTTTTCCATAATTTCTTGGTATGTCAACTTTGACCATTTTTACTACAAATCTATTTTATTTATTTATTTATTTTTTTCAAATTGACCTTCTTTCTTACATGCATAAACTTTGTCTTTTTTAACTAAAGAAACCAGGTAGAAAGTGCAAATTTTGGCAACGGGTTGACGAAGAACATGCCAGACTGAACCATGTATGGCAATTATTAATGAGATGTTCTCATATGTGGGTGGTATAAGAACACCTCATTAATAATTGTCCCACGTAGGATGCCGTGAGCAAAATCTGAAGAAACCGATCATAAAGACTGAATGTATACAAAAACAACAATAACTTATTTTGCAACAACAAAAACATTAAGGACTAAATGTGTATAAAATGAGAACTATATTACCCGCTTAAGTCATTTTTTCCGATTTAACTTAAAGTAATCGGTTATAAAGACTGAATATGTACAAAAAATAAGTTAAATGATCAACTCTGAACAAAAAAAACATCAATGACTATATTTTTACAAAATGAAAACTATATTACTATATTAAGTCAATTACCTATTTTACATTTGTCAAAAGAACAAAGCCCTATAAAGACGAAATTCGGGCAAAAGATTATTTTGTATTAAAATCTCTACTTTTTAACAAAATATTATTTTGTACTGAAATTACTATTTTTTTTTACAAACTATAAATGTTATTTATGTAATTCGTTATAATAATAATAATAATAATATTATTATTATTATTATTATTATTATTATTGTAATTTTAACTTTTAATGTTATTGTCAGTATTATTATTAAAATTTTAAAGTGGGGATATAATTGTTATTTTCAAAATTATAAACAGGTACATTAAGAAACCAATCTATAGATCTCTTTTTGGACCTACACACAAAATGACTAAATAACTAAGGTACCGTTTGATAGTTTTTCTCCGGGAAAGTGCTTTCTGGAAAAGTGGTGTATGAGAAAGTTTTCTGACTGGGAAAGAAACCATGTTGTTTGATTATACATCTGATTGATTGTGCTGAATGATGAAAAATGACAATATTACCATGCTTTTCTATATTATGATGGATGAAGTTGCTGAATAATTATAAAAAAATATAAATTGTCATACAAAATTAAAATTACACAATAATCATTTAAAATCCAAATAGAATGTCGAGTAAGTTGTTTTTAGTTTTTTTTTTCAAGTTGATGTTACGTTGTTATTCTTTCTAGCAATTATAACTTTTTTTTATAAGTCAACATGTGATTCTTGACCCGGTTTATGTCCGATAGTGGTGGGATTGATGTTTTTTTTTTTAATATATTAGGATGATCGTGGTGTTGTCTATTAAAATGATTAATCCAACAAAAATGAATTAAAAAAAATTAACTAAAAGAAATTAATAATCTAATAAAGTAATATTTATTAATATTTAATATTATATAGTTATAAATAATATTTATTAATATATAATAATCAAATAAAAAGAATTAATCAATAAAAAGAAAATAAAAAAAGAATTATTTAAAAAAATTAATAATCCAATAAACTAATATTAATTAATACATAAATATTATATATTCAAAATAATATTTATTACTATACAATAGTCCAATAAAAAAATTAAAAGAGTTATATAAAAGAAATTAATAATCCAAGAAAGAAAAAGAGAGAGTTTGAGGTACAATTGTCTTTCCAGCCTCTTCAGCCAGAAAGATATGATTTTGGAGCTTTCTGGGAAAGACATATCTTATCCGGAAAGACCCATTTTTTTGTGCATATCAAACAGTCTTTTCGGTTCATTCAACCAGAAAGATCTGTTTGGAGCTGCAAAGATTTCTATTAAACGGGGCCTAAATGCACTATTTTTGCGGTTCATTTCCGTAGACACAATATTTATGCTTTCAAAAGTTGTATAATTTATATGTTGCATAAACTTTTAAAGTATAAATTGTTGTACATAATAAAAAAATTGGTGTCTGCAGATCAACTGCCGCTGTAATTTAATTCACGAATAAGTATTCTTTAATTGATACTCAACATTCGATAACTTGTTAAAATCCGACAGTGATAATATGAGTTTTAAAATAAAAAATTCCTTCATTAATTATCAACTTAACAAACAATCATCATGACGATTTCTACATCATCCATTTCTCGATCATCACCAATCAAAAGCCAAATCCTTGAACATTTTGGAAGTCATGGGAAACCATTAACAGAAAATCCTCCATCAACAGCAATTGTTTGGCCAGTGATGTAAGAAGCAGCAGGTAAACAAAGGAACGCCACCACTGATGACACATCAATCGCTTCAGCAATGCGTTTCAAAGGTGTTTCTGATACCATTGCACCCAAAAACTCCTCATTACTTAGCAACTACACACAATTTGTTTATTGGTTGATTAAAATCAATACATTCAATGGGATAAATAGAACAAACACAAAGAAAGGTAGGATTGAAGTATATTACAGGTTCAACAAGTGGGGTTCTAGTGCACCCTGGAGCTACACTATTACTCCGAATGTTATCTTTAGCCCATTCACAAGCTAAATTCTTTGCAAGTTGATTCATAGCAGCTATGAACAGAAAATGGAAGCTTAAAATTTCTTGTAACACCAAATACAATCAGGAAAATCAAACCGTATTACCTTTAGTGGGTCCGTAGATAGATGTGTAATTAAAATGAACAGAACCTGCAATGGAGGAAATGAACACAATGCTTCCAAATCCAGAAGCTTTTAAAAGAGGATGTGAAAGTTGAGAGATATGGTAACAGGATTCCAAATTGGTAGCCATGATCAGGGAATACTCTTCTGCAGTATACTCTAGAGTAGCTTTCATTATGTTAGTCCCAACATTGTTTATCTACAGTTTTGGAAGTTTGTATAATCAGTTGTGGGTATTCAATTAGTAACACAAGAATGAATGTGTTCGTTCCAAAACATTAGGAATTCCTGCAAAATAAGATGAAACTTGATGTATGGAAGAATTCCCCAATTTATCGCTGAAAGTGATATCAGAAGAACTTACTAGGATGTTGAGCTTTCCATTGAAGATAGAGGAGACTTTTTCTAGAAGATGTTCGCGTTGAGGACGAGAAGTTGCGTCGCAGACGGATCCGGTGACGGTGAAACCCTTGGAAGACCATTCTTGTAAGCGGTGGTTGAGCTCAGCCTCGTTACGAGAGCAGGTGTGTACGGCCGCCCCTAACTCCGCCAATTCCTCCACCACAGCGTAGCCGATCCCACGTGTGCCGCCGGTGACGAGAGCAGTCATGCCGGCGAGAGACCATCTGGAATTTTTAGTTTCTGAACTGCTCTCCGCCGCTGCCGCCGTCGTCATTTTATCAGATTGTTTTGAAATATTGCAGTGGATATCTTCGACAGAGATGACTAATTTCACTCCTTTGGTCCTTCCAATTTGTTACAAGCATATCACCGGAGTTGCTGAATATGGACCATATTTTTCTTATTCTACCCACTCCACATTAAAATTATGATAATTGTCCAATTTACTCAAACAATGTTTTTTTTTTTTTTTTTTTTTTTTTTTTTTTTACCATTAAAGTCATATTTTACCTATTAATTAACGAAATATTCGAAATTCACCCACGTTACACTTGATTATGTGCCTTTTTTTGTTTTAAATTAAAATCAGATACTTGATCTATGTGGCATTTTTCCCAGATGAAGTTGTAAAGTTCAGGAACATGATCTACGGGTAATAGCGGCTCCGATCAGAGATCTGTGTTTGAGGATGACGGTGATCACTCCACTGTCGGACCAGATTAGAGAGACCTAGGTTGAGGGCCAGAAGGAAGAGCGTCAGAAGTGTGAAAGGATTGTAGGCCGGGTGGCCTCATTTGATTATGATAGCCGAGGGTTGTTGACCCTGCATGGGAGGGTCTGGGTTCCGTACTGGGGTGGAGTACGGCAGGTTCTGATGGATGAGGCACATAAGTCGAGGTTCTTTATCCATCCCGGGGCGGAAGTACTTAATGGATGAGTCAGCAGTTGTACCTTTAGAGGACATTCAGGTGGATGATAGCCTGAACTACATCGAGAGACCAGTGGCTATCCTCGACAGGAAGACGAAAGAACTGAGAAAAAAGAGAGTGGAGTTGGTGAAGGTGCAGTGGCAGCACCACAAGGGATCAAAGTGGACCTGGGAGCCCGATGAGGAGATGAGGGAGCACTACCCGGAGTTGTTTCCGGATACAGCAGACTTCGAGGACGAAGTCTAATTCAAGTGGGGGTGAATTGTAACGATCGTCATTTGAGGTATTAATTATTGTTGGGCCAAAATGTGGATCAAAGGACTTTTGGTTTGGGCTTAAGCAAATGGGTCAAGGATCTGGGGCGCCCATAAGACGTACGATGAGCGTAGCCTTGGCGTACACGGGGCGTAGAGGCATGCATTGGATGCGGGAGGCGCGTACACATATGCGCAATGTACCAGGAGTACGCGCAGCGTACGTGCGCAGATGCCAAAACCCTAATTTTTAGGGTTTAAGACATATAAATACCCCATTATAGCCACCCCCTGGCCTCCTTACCAGCCCCTCACCCTCAAAAAACCCTAATACGCCCTCATACTCCATTGTTGTGTGTGTTTGACTTCTTGAGCTTATTTTTGGTGAAGAAAAGCTTGGAAGAAGTGAAGAGAAGTTGGAGGAGAAGAACTTGAGTATCTTGAGCTCAAGGATCTGGAACGATTTCATCTTTTGGCACTCAAAGGAGGTATAAAGCTTCTAACTTTCCTCTTAGAAGCTTAGATCTAAGATTATGGAGCTTTGGACCTTTTTAGGTCCAAAGGATGGACCTTTATCATGCAACTTCGTTTTTGAGCTTAGGGTTGCCACCGTTGGAGCTCAAAGCATTCCTTTAGCAGTAAAGTTTCAATCTTTGGGTTTTTATGGAACCATGCATGAGATATAGCCATTTCTATGGAGTTAGTTGCTATTATTCTATGTTTGGGCTCATTTGGTGGGTTGCAAGCCACCAAATGATCGACTTTATGGATTAGGATGTTGAAAGGGACTTGGATCTGTAGTTATAGCCTCTGGAGTTGAGTATTAAGTTCTTAATGGGAAAAGTAGCTTAACAGGGTAGTACGTTGGGCGTACCAGCTAGTACGCGCAGCGTACAAGCCATGCAGCAGGTACGCGCTGCGTACATAGAAGTACGCCCCGCGTACTTAACCGTATTGGGCTTCTACCGTGGGAGCAGCCAGCAGAGATTCCTCACGTACGATTTCAGGATCCAGTCTGAGAGGTGATTCCTCTTCCAGTAGGAACGAGTCTAAGGCCACAATGCCGACTCGTTTAGATGTTAGTAGTTCCGGATTACGGTCCGATGCCGGGGCGGTCCCAAGAAGAGTTTATGTATGCTTGATGTCTTTGTGATTCATGCATATTATGTGTTATGTTTTCTGGGGCAAGCCCGATGCATGCTAGTTTATATGTTATATGTTATGTATTCCGGGGTAAGCCCGATGTCGCGGCGAGCCCGACGTATGTTATATGCTGATGTTATGTGTTTATGATATATGATATGCTGTGTGTGTGTCGGGGTAAGCCCGATGTCGGGGTGAGCCCGATGCCAGACGTGGTCTGATGCCGGGGTGAGCCCGATACCGGGCAGGAGTCCGATGTCGGGTAAGCCGATGTCGGGTTCGTCCCGATGCAGCTGGGCGGTGTCGCATAGTTGTGCTATCTGTGATATGATATATGTTTATGGTATGTGGTATTTTGGGGGAGCTCACTAAACTTCGTGCTTACAGTTTTTAGTTTGGTTTCAGGTACTTCAGCTAGTAAAAGGAAGGGCTCGGGATGATCGCGTGACACACACCACAGTTTTCTAACCTGGGAGATTTACTCTGATATTTGATATGTTGACAGATGTTATGATATTTTGAGATACATGGTTTATGATTTTATACTATGGTGATGATATTTATGGTTTAATAATGATTTAAAAATGAAATTTTTGGACCGTATTTTTGGGATGTTTCAAGTTGGTATCAAAGCCTTGGTTTGAGGGATTCAGGCACACTCTCGGGTGTGTCTGAACTCAAACTAAGGACATGGTATGAAAATTTTCAAAAGAAAATCATTTTTACAAAAAGAATTTTTAAAAGAGAAAATAACTTTCAAAAGAGAAAAGGGTGTGATGCGTGCAATCAGTCGAGCTCAAGTAAGTACTCCCAAATTACCCATACAAGTTTATGTTATGATATAATTACCAGCTTTATGAGAACTGCATGCTAGATTAGGACTAAGAATCTAGGAAGGATGCCTTATGTTCCTGTTATATGTGTATCAGCCTTATGAGAACTGCATGCTAGTTTAGGGCTAAGGATCTAGGAAGGATGCCTTATGTGCATGTTATATGTATCTCAGCTTTATGAACTGCATGATAGTACAGATTAGTCAGGGATAGCCTGAAAGAGATATGCTTGATTATGTTTACTCGATGCTCGAATGCTGCTTGCTTTGTGCTTATAGGAGTCTTAGTTATCTTTTGCTAACTAGTAAATGAATATGTTACGTTACATATTGCGAGGATTAAATAATTTCATAAGGTTAGGTCTAGCTCTATTGTGCAACTCTTGTCTGAGTCCAACCGTTGTAGGGTAGGATGTCTCATTCGAAGAATTATCTAATCTTAGTGATATGTAGTAGTATTCACGAGCTAGTTAGGGGGAGGTAGCAGGGACTTCTTATGCAGATGATATCGGAGAGTGGGTTGGTGATTACCCTAGGGAAAGCCTAGGAAGAGTTTAGTATGAGATCAGCAGTAGTAGTAGAAGGGACTTGGTGGAGTCGAGGCAGTTCTTGAGGAAAGTACATATATATTTGGAAGGTAGTCGGTGCCCGTACTACTCAAAGCAGAGGATCCGTACTCGAATCAAGGAAGGCTGATATGAAATCGGGAAACTTGTAGCGTATGAGATCCCTCGAGTTATGTTTAGTATTCTGATGTTGTTATGATGTGTTTTCTTTTCAGAATGGTGGTTTTACGCCCTAGACCAGCAGTCGACAGTTCAGGTCCCGGTGAGGGATCAGGCTCAGGCTCTGGAGTTGAGCAGCTAGACGAGCAGACCAGAGAGTTCATCTCCTCAGAGATCACACACATTATTCTTGAGCAGACTCCTGTGATCTTCAGTTCGATCAATGAGGGTATCTTGGAGCTTATGGATGAGAGATTTAGTGCTTTCCGCACTAAGGTGGCGGCCATGATGGGGTCGCGCACACTCACTTTCTAGGAGTTCAGAGCATGTGGAGCTCCCGACTATCATGGGGCTCAGGACCCCATTGCGAGTACTAGATGGTTGGTTGATGTCGCCAACACATTCCGCACCAGCAGATGTCCCGAGGGGGACAAGGTTAGGTTAGCATCCTGTCTTTTGAAGGACAGGGCACGTGACTGGTGGGAGGAGGTCAGACGAGCCATTGATGATGATACATTGTTGGATACGATGACTTGGAGTGATTTCACGACCAGGTTCAGGGCCGAGTTCGCACCTGTTATTGAGGTGAAGCAGCTTGCTAAAGAGTTTCAGGACCTCCAGCAAACTACAGAGACAGTGGCGGAGATCACCGCCAAGTTCAGGGAGAGAGCCCTTCTTGTTCCACAGTATGTGGCAGATGAGGAGATGAAGAAGGCTCGGTACCATGAGATGCTAAGGAGTGATATTAGACAGTTTGTGAGCCGCTCCACCTGTAATACGCTGGAGGACATGATTGTTAGGGCTCTAGAGAGGGAGTTGGATCTAGAGATGGAGAAGAAGAGGAGACCAGAGGGGAGTCAGTCAGGGAGTGCGGGCAAGAAGCCCAAGGTATCAGATCACAGATCTCGAAGCCAGCAGAGCTACAACCGTTGTGGTAAATACGGCAGGATGCACGAGGGAACGTGCAAGGCGGGGAGTTCGGGCTGCTACAAGTGCGGTCGAACTGGTCATGTGAGCCGAGATTGCACAACCACTACCACCACCACGACAACATCAGATCTGATTTGCTTTCAGTGCAATCAGAGGGGACACAAGCGGTCCCAGTGCTCGATTTTAGCTACAGCAGGGAAGGTGGCGACACCTTCTCCTGCTACATTGAAGATTACAGATGGCCGTTAGGGCCGGGCTGAGGCGCCTACGGTGCGGAGCACGAGTTTTCAGCTTACTGCAGAGGAGGCACGAGCAGCTCCTGACGTGGTGACGGGTATGTATCTTTCTCTTATCTCTTTATTTATATTGTATGTTACTTATGTTTATGTGTTTTTCTATAGGATCGTTCTTAGTGAACGGCATATCAGCTTTGGTACTGTTTGATTCGGGTGCCACCCGATCCTTTGTGTCGCTCGCACTTAGCAAGCGATTTAGTAGAGCTCCGGGGGAGTTGGATTGCCCAATTGATGTTGAGATAGCAGATGACAGG